GGKKTYTTGTCTCCGAGTCCTGCTCATCTACATTAATCCAAGGGAATGCAGTTTAATTGTATTAGAAACAACTTATCAACTAACTTGCCTAACTGGGTAGTGATACAACAACTAGGATACCTTGGCCATCCCTTGAACCATCATCAATTACAGTGCATAATATCCTTATTATATATAAAAATCTAAATTCCAAATAAGCTTTGTGTTCTACAGCTGGAGTGAACCTGAAGTCCTTCACAGCTGTCCATGTAATATTCTGATTATAAGATTTCCATTTATGTTAGGATTTGTAGACTTGGCATGCTATTGTTAGTTTAGTCTTGCCTCCCTTCTTGAGGTCCACTTCATTTTGACGATAGTGATTCACGAGATCTATGATGGAGTCAAATTGCTGTGGAAGGGAAASAGTTTTTATTGTGATTTGTATCGATACAAAGCATTTCATGGCTGGCACACACTGGTGAACAAGGGGGATGGACAATGTAATGCAGGGATACACCGCCAGCAACAGAGGGTACTGGGAAGACAAAAGTYTAGACCGCTTACTGACCACCTTGAGTCATGACACACAAGCACCAACTCAAGCTAGTGTGATTGTAGAGTCATGTGACCACAAGGGATGACAGAAGACATGTAAGATATCAAAATATTTTTATGAATAACAAGTATTATTTATAATCCACACAAAATGTCGATCACATGAGTGAAGAAGCCTTAGTAACAATGTGCTGTGTCAAACCACGTCCCCGAATTGTGATTGGATAAACAGTTATAGTTTTACTACTGGTCCAACAGATGTTGGTGACCATGCCATCTACCACGATCTCACACATCAACATGAAATCTGCTGGCAACAACAAGCCATGCAAAGCTATGCCTCAGAGTGCTGAATGGGTGAGCATTAACTTTAATAACGCCATGTGCCAGGACTCGCACACTGACATGAAATCTGCCCTAGTATGTTGGGATTCATCAATTTTACTAAACCATTGTACATTATGGGGCCATCATACCTGAATGCCGCTATCTCCTAACACATACTTGTTGTTTTTATGAGGAATTCTAAAGAAGGAAAGAAATAGTGTGTCAACCCGATATGAAAAAGAAAATGYCAGAGATTAAAATCGATAAATTGTMACTAACTRAAATGAATGTACAGTACATAGCCTCAGTCTCCAGCCGTCGGGATTTGGTGCACCTGTGATACTCTCCCCGGGCACACGAAGCCCCCACAGCTGGAGACTAATCCTATAATGAATGCTCCCCAAAGTGATTTTATCAATAAGCCATTTTCACTAAGATGTCACGTGACCCTAAACCCTTAAAAAACGAGCAGTTGTGTCAAGACAAAGACCAGCAATTAAAAAAAGTACCATGATATTAGTGACATTTAAACTCGTACCGTTAACTATAGKAGAAATGGTATTTTAATGTTGTATTCGAGACAAATYGAACATTTTATCAGRATTTGTATGCGACAATACGTTGGCTAGCAAGCTCACACCACAGAGTCTTCCACTGTATTAATACATGCAATATGGTTTTGGATTCCTAAAAACARCCACACCGATTCAARTRAATAAGCTACAACATACCTTAGATGGCGAACATTTCCATTGTAGATCAAAGACATTGAGTAGTCGTTGGGACTCTTGGTGCTGTTGCGTACAAGAAAGGCGCCATTCTACAAAACACAAGATCATGCGTAAAGATGATAATAAAATTCTTGATGAAATTATCGTTTCTTAAACACTTGCCTCGCCAAAAAGGCCATCTACGTCACCGGCTCACGGGTGCGATATAATGCATGATGGGATTATCTGGGTTAAATTGCATCATGATATCCCATTTACTTCCAATGACGTCACATCCAAATAAGYGTGTTGTAATGCATCACGGGACACACTGTTAAATGACGCATCTCGATTGTTTAATAGTAGTGTTTYAGTGATTTCGTTGCTCAAAGTTAAAACGTCTTGTCTTCTGCATAATTGACGTCTCTTGAGTGATTTTTGTCATATGSAAAACTTACCTGATTAAATTGCTTTAAACTTTCTTCGACCGCTTTTCGTTCCACAGGTCCCTGGAACCACGGAGCTTCCTTCATTAACTCTAATGAACTCTTCTGAAGTTTGAACGGAAAAAAGGATCAGAAAGATTCATTTGACATAATGATAATAGATCTCGCATGACTGATACGGTAGGACACGCGACTCGGTACTTTATTTAAGACTAATACAGCAGTCATTGCTTGACCAATGGAAATGATTGGACACGGTATATATCATCTAGGTCACGTCCGTGCCGTGCGTTTATCACCGTCAAACGAAATTTCCTCCATTGATTACAGGAAAAACAGCTCGTTTGTATGACCCGGACAACTTCACTAGCTGCGACATGTCCTTTGTTACGGGACGTTTAACGCTCGT